CCCCAAAACCCCAAAACCCCAAAACCCCTGTAAAAATGGTTAATTTTGAAACCAAAATACGCGTAAAGGTCATTAAAAAAGAAATCCTTTAATCTCTATCACCAGTGGAGTGGTCTCGGTCTGAATGATAAAGTTTGTGCAATATCTTTACTACTTCTTTATGTCCTGCCTCAGAAGCTCTGTCTAATGGACTTTTACCCCATTTATCGGTAATGTCTCTAAATTCGGCATCCAGTTCGATCAAATAATGGAGGATTTCTTCATGACCAAAAGAGCAAGCAACATGGGCTGGAGTAACATCATCATAATCTTTGATAGAATTAATATCAAAATTTTCCTCCTTGACTTCTTCTAGAATACACTGAAGATGATGAAGATCATCATCAGCCACAGCATTCAACAAATCTTTGGTGAATTCATTCTTTTGTTCTGCCATTGACTGTAACAAGGATACTTTGTGGGAGAAAGGAGTGACTACACCCTTGAGGTTGTCATATCTATGCATGGTATACTCCTTTAGTAGCAATTTACTGGCTTCAATTCCTCTAACAGAGTTACCTCTTGAGTCTAGTCTTGGGCTGAAAATACAAATTCCCATTACCTTTGGAACAACGAGGAAGACACAGCCTCCTACTCCACTTTTGGCTGGGATTCCAACGGAATATGCCCACTCTCCAGAATAATCGTACATTCCACATGAGTGCATGAGGGAGAGACAGTGATTAACTGTATCTTCTTTGAAAATTCTCTTCTTTGTCATTGGGCAAACTCCTCCATTTGCTAAGGAAGCTGCGATGATTGCCATATCCTTTGAAGTAGTTTCAAGCGATCAGATTTGGAAATAAAAATCTAGTACTTCCTCCAAATTGATGTTCTCTGGAAATGCTTTGGCATCCTTCATCATATGTCCTAAGCAGAAATTTCTTGAAGCAGTATCCTTCTCACTAAGGTATGTAGCATTCTGGAAGCCAATCCTGGCTCCTCCAGCTAAGCTTGACCAGAACTTCTTTACATATTCATATCTCTTATACATCTCCAAGTCTGGAGAAACCAAAGCTGCAGTCATGATGGCTCCAGAATTGATCATTGGGTTGTGAGGAAGATTTTGAGGATTTAAGAAGTTTTTGTTAAAACTAGCTCCAGAGGGCTCTTTACCAACATGTTTATGAACGTAGTCAATTCCACTCTCTTCAACTGCAATGCAATAAGTGATGGCTTTTGAGCAACTCTGGACACAAAAGTAAGTGTCAGAGTCTCCAATATCACATTGTTGGCCATCAACAGTTCATGCAGCAATTGAGAACAAGTTAGAATCTACCTCTGCTAGCTGAGGAATATAGCTAGCATTCTCACCATCCTTGACGTGCTCAACGATATCATAGATCTTTGCAATGCTCTCAGTGAACTCACTGAAATCTGGAACGATCAGTTTGCCTAATAATGCTTTCTCAATGAACTCTCCATCAGTCATCTCGATCAACTTCGCAAAATGGTTTCAATCTATTTCACTCTTTGATTTCAAGGGCAAGGAGTTAATATACTCTTGAATTTCTTGAAATCTGTACTTCTCCTCTAGCATATTAAATCCTTGCATCTGCACTTGCTCGATGAGAAAAGATAGAGGGATCTTGCCATCCATGTCATCATCATAAGCTTCAAAGATCCTGTTTATCTCATCATCTCTATTCTTATCTTTAAAAATTTTGTCCATCTTTGGTACTTCCTTTATTAGTTCAATAAGTTTATCTAGGTTTGGGGTTTTGGGGTTTTGGGGTTTTGGGG